CGAACATTGGCTGATGGTCTACTTTTAATACTTTCAACTTGTTTTATGAGAATTTGTTATGTTCTCACTGACGAATTCTGTAACTTGACAGCCATACAACCACAGTGCAGCATTATGCTGTCAAACATGTAATCTAAATCAAACTAAGCTGAACTTCTTTTAAACCGTTGTGCGAGCCAATATCCACTACAAGTTTCTCTATGCGGCCATATCATTTGTTCGGAGCATAATTTATATGTAAATTAATTAAATTCTATTTGAGTTGATGTAAAAACAAAATTTCTCTGTCACACTTCAGCCTACTTTAGTTGGGGACTGCTTTGCTTGTTGTTGCATTTCGTTTGATTCAAATTAATTTTTCCACATTTCATACAACAAGCAATGGAATCAAGTTTCGGTTTGATAAGAGAGACCAGCTGAATGGGAGATAAAGAAGGAAATCTGTTATTTATGTCATATTTTTAATAATTTTACATTGTTGAGAGGCACGGCATTGAATTGGAGAAAATATCGTTGGATGGAATTTTTTGGTTTTCATTTAAAAATAAAAATTATATTTTTTTCAAAAGAAACTCCTTTTCATTGCACAAAAGATGTGTGCCGACCTCTATCACTTCTGGGTGGCATTGGATATAACGAAATTGTGCGGGTGAATGTTGTTGTGTTGGATTATTGTTTAAAATAGCCATAACTTTTGTGGGTGAACTGGATAAAGCATGAAATTTGGGTCAAACATAATGCAAAAATACACATATTTCAATATTTCCTATTAGATGTTTGGTTTAGGGCAATATTCTTGGTGTAGTGCAGGATAGATGTGTTTTTGGAAGTGCGAAAATTAAGGCAAGAAAAATTCTAAAATGGTTCCATTCGGTATTATGTGAAGGGATAGAACTAAAATTTTGGTATGAGAAACAAGTTTGAAAGTAAGTTTGATATTTGAAGGTGGTTTTGGAAATGTGTACAAGTGTACGAACTGTACTAAATGGTACTAAATTGGGAACAGTTTGGTTTAGGATAAACGGATCAAGTTGGAAATGTGAAATTTTGCATTTGGGCTTCCTTTTGGTGGTGGGTTACAATAAAGAGATGATTTTGAAAATGTGTACTACAAGTGCACGAAATGTACTAAATAGTACTACATTTAGTACAATTTGGTATTGGGTAAACATATAGTGCTTGGAATCTGGAATTTAGTATGTATGGATCGCTTTTCATGTGTAGCCTGGACATATGGATGTGTTTTCGGAAATGTGTACTATAATTGTACGAGCAGCTCTGAATGGTACTATATTTGGTAGTGGGCGAATGGATAGAGTAAAAAATTAGAATTTCATGTTTAGATTACTGATAGCATCTGTGTTTGAGATTTGGCGGTGGTTTGGAAATGCTGTGAGTTAACACAAGTTATAAGGTTTAGAAAGACTAAGGATAGCCGGCGTTTGACCTAACCCAGAGAAGAACATTTCAAGCCCCGGACGAAGGCCGGCTGCTTAAAGCTATGAAAATTAGAATACACTATAAAGGATAGGCTATAAAGTACTTTGCAGATCTTAATAAACCATAACGAGTCCATTTTCGACCATTTCGTGCACGAAATGTACTAAATAGTAATATATTTATGAATAGGGTGTTTCGAAAAATTGTACGAAAATTACTGAATGGTATGTATACTTGAGATTTGTCGGTGGTTTGAAAATGCGTCCTATGTTTGTAAGAAAAGTATCAACTGGCAAAAAAAAAGAAAGGCCTGGAATCCTTAAATTTTATATTGGATCCTTAATGTTATAAATGTAAATTTAATAAAAACGTTTAAACAATATTGTTCCTGATGATGTCTTCCGTTGGAGGACGAAATATCAAAAATAATAAATAATTAAACAACAAAAAACTCCTCGAGCTCGTTTTTATTAAATTTACATTTATAACAATATATAATAAAGGTCGAATTAAATATCTAAAAATCAAATAATTGAATCCTTAATTTTATATTTAACAGAGGTTAATTCAGATATGAAAGGTGGTTTTTGTAAACTACATTATAATTGTACGAAAAGAACTAAATAGTACTAGATTTGGTATTGGTTGAAGGAATAGAGCTCAGAGCCTAAAATTTTATATGGATGTCACTCTTGGTGTCTATAACGGTTCGAAAAGTCCTTTGTGATACTAAATTGGATATTAGATAAAACTGGAATCCAGAAATTTAATATTGAGGTCTCTGTTGGGATTGAGATATGGCATAGCAAATGCCAAGCGTTCAGGAAACTGCAACCTTTTGAAGTTGAGTGCACATATGTTGCAATTACAGAATTCGAGGTAGCAACATACTTCCCCGTAATAATCATCTCTTCAATTAAATTGTCGTGTAGGTTTTTACTGTTAACTTAAAACCATTGCAAAGTCGTTGTGGGTCAATGGTTCTTAATAATATCATATCCAATCATATCCAATATCATATTTGGGTAGCTTTGCGCTATAAACTATTTAAACACGAATACAGTGGTTTTTCTATTTTTAGCTCTGTTTTCATAATCAACTGAGTTTTTCCCCGTAACAATTTCTTGTGTTGCACAGTGCTATTAAAATTCTAGTTTACCCGTCTACCAAATTTGGTGTTTTGGCCATAGTTTTAGTTCGAATTTCCACAAACTAGGCCATATATCACACCTGCACTCCCACAATGACCGACATGCTAAAAATTAAACAAACTTAGTTCACATCAATCCAGTTTTTATAAAGCTTGTAATTTGTATTGACAATTCCTCTATGAAAAGCTCTGATTCTTTGGAAAACATTTATTTAACGCATAAAAAAAGAAAATCCAAATGAGACTAAATGTACTTATAACCAAAAAATTAGGAACAATTTAGAATATTCCACGAAACTATCGTAGTTTGAACGAAAGACTTAATCGTTTCACATCATAACAGAGCATCCGCTTTAATTCGGCCTAAAAAGATGAATATTTATGACCATTTATAACATATCTCACATAATTCAGTTCACTGCATTTCATTTATACTAAGCTAAGCCCCGTGAGCGGCAACAATTTTCCCACCACGCTACCGTTTAGCTTAAGCGATTAATTTTCATTCATTTCCCAAACTTTCTTTTGTCGAGTGATTACTAATTCACCTGTTTGATTTTCACAGTAAATGGTTATGAAAGACCACTTTCGTTATTTTATTTTGGGGCATTGATGATTGATTTAATCTTAATCTGGTAGCAAGGAAATCCGATTAAAATTTATTGTCTGAATGTTATAATTACAAAATATCTACTTCGAGTTTTTGTTGTCGTCAGAGAATGATATAAAGTGGGATAATTAGATTATCTCCAAACAAATAAATCGAAAACTAATGTGAGATTGGCCATTTTGAAATAAACCGGATCGAACTTACTATATGCTCATCATGATTTAAAAAATAAATATATAACAAATAAATAAACAGCTATGTTCGTCCGGGCCGAACATTTAATAGCCTCCACCATTTAGAAGGAACCTGCGAAATGTAAAAAAATCCGTAAAAAAATTCCTTTAAAAATATTTAAAATACCGAATATCAGGTGGAAGGGGTTCTACGAAAATATGGCCTGTATTGCTAATTACCTGCCAGAACTTCAAGCACCAATTTTGATATAATTCTGTTGAAAAATGTGTGAATATTAGAAGAGGAAACTACGAAGATGTGAAGCTTCATGTGTAATTATCATAGGAAGTGGTACGCATTGCTAACTTCAAATACCAAAATTCTAATAATTCCGTCCAATTTTCTGTCAGAGTACATTGTACCTGTTAGAAATAATTTGAAATAATTCCCGTGAAAAATTTGGCTAGTATCTTAAAAATACCAAATATCGGGCGGTACAGTTATACGAAATATACGAAAGACCTCATGAGGTGATTTTCTGTCAAACGACGTGGTACCCATCACGAGTTCCAAATATCAATTTTAAAACAATTCCGGTGAAAAATGTGACAATCAACAAAACACCGAATATCTGGAGGAACAGTTATTTGGGGACTTAACAGTTCTCTGTAAGGATGCTTTTTATACCCTTCACCGTAGAGTATTCAAATTTCGGCCCGGCCAAGCTTACAACTTTTTTACTTGTTACATACTGGGAAAACGAACTGCCAATTCGCAGCAAATTCCGGTTAAAGTTTTGACAAAAACTCCCAAAAATCCCAAATTCGGCAGTTCACCACTTTCGGCCAACGAAAGCAACTCTTTAGCCCTTTTGAGTCTATTTTCTTTCAATTGCGGTGTAAGTTCGTGCACTTTCATTCTTCAGTATTTGATGAATGGAATATTGCGATATGTTCAGCTCATGAGCTGTCACTGGAATAATTTTAACAGCTGTCGGACGAGTGGCTTTAAGATAACAGCATCCTGTTGCAGTTGTTTCATCTCACCCTGTATACTTCGAGGTCTTACATACGGAATGACCAATTTAATATATCCTCCATATTATGATGGAGGGCATAAAAAGATCCCACCTCTGCTAAAAATGCAAAATTTCTAAATATTTGTCGATATCTCCCAAACTGGTGAGGAACTGAGCTATTGCATCATGCTACATTATGTGGTCTTAATATTAACCTATCATTATGTTGCATAGTGTAATTTTACAACATTTCTGAGAGATTGCAACTGAAATCAGTCAAAAATAACAAAATTCACACACAATCACACATATGTATACAAAATGTAAACATTAATTAATTTTAATTTAAAAAAAAACGTAAACAAAACATTTTTTTCAATTCTCTTCTAATATTTGAGAGCGCAGCGAGCCGTTTTTCATGCTCTTCCTGCAAGGGATTCAATCGGCAATCTCTTAGATTTCCATTGAAAAGAATTTTCATTCATTCGTTTGATGTTGACTTCTATGTGCGATCTTCTTGCTAAGAGCAAACAGCCAATGGCTAAACGACCATCCGGACCGATAGACGGGCGAGACATAGCCAAAGTATGAAATAATTTTGAAAAGTGTGTTGCGTTGCTCGGTGTTCGTCGAACGGTTGTATTATTTAACGCTCTGTGCCACCGCGAACGAAAGCAGAAGAAAAAAATCTCTGAAAAAAAGAATTATTCAAAAATTAATGAGGAAATTATTTTCACCAGTGAAAATGTGGGGTTACACAAAAATATGCCCATATTCCAGTGTTGAAAAGCAACAATTCTGAAATCAAACGAAAAATATCAATGAAAATATTCTTGAAAATAACGAAAAGTGCATTTCTAGTGAAAAAAGAATAGAAAAAGAAAATCTAGTATAAGATAAAAATTTATACATATATATATTTTTATACATATAGAGAAAAAATAGATTGACGAATCTTTTTTATGGGCAATCAACAAGGAAAACTACAGCACCAAACGCAGAGTGGCCGTCCCAAAAAAGCTGTCCATTGGAAATCTGCAGGTGACACAAATTCAATAATTTTCTTTCTGTTTTTTTTTTTAGTTTCTGATTTTTTCCTTACTTAGAATGAGATTATTTTAAAGTAAAATTATTTTATATTCGACATAAAAAGCTAAAAATGTTTAGTGGGAGCGCCAGAAATGTGGTTATTTTTAGAAGCATTTTCACACTCAAGTGGTTGACTTTGTTGTTTTATTTTTCTTCTTCTTCTTCTTCGTGTGTTTTGTTGGTACTACGGCGGCGGCTGCTGTTGCCTCTGTGTCTTTCTACATTGAAAATACCCACAAAAATCCGGAAAATGTTTTTCTTTTTTCTCAAATTAAACGAGCACAGCCAGCCAGCTACCAAACGCACAAAAAGCGTAACTGTGTCTGTCGGAAAGAGATTTTTATTTTGACATTTTTCTTAGAGGGATATACCTATGCATTGTACTGCATTTGACAGTTTTACGAATGAAACAAGCCAGCAGCCTGCTGATGGATTCGTCGCCGTATAAAAAGGAAATGCCAACAACATCGAGAAAAAATGAGGAAATAAAAAAACAAATAGTTACAATTTTAAAGGCCATCAAATAAATTCCATTCAATTTTAATTCGAAAAAAAAACATTTATTCCTTATGTCTCTTGAAGAAAACTCTTAGAGAAAAACAAAATCTCTTCGAAAGAAGAGAGTTTCTCTTATATACATATTCACTTTTTATGTTTTAATAAGAGATTTTGAAAAATTTCCTCGGGTTTTGAAATTGCCTTTTTACGATTTGTTGTTTTGTTTTGATTTCTCAATATCATTAATGTATTTTTTGCTGTATTCTCCCGTGTTGTTTTTGTTTTGATTATTTGTTTTGTTTTGAACACAAGTTTTTGTTAAACATTTGCTAACATTAATTTTAAAATTTGGGTTAAATTACTTATTGGCAAATTACTTATTTTTGTCTGTGATTCACGAATTAACTTAATTGAAAAGCAGAGAATTACGTTGATAGGACAGCCCTTACACAAAAATTATTGTGCAAGGTTTGCAAATGTGAATTTAAATAAGTAAAAACAGCTACGTTCGCCTCCACGATTTGCAAGATGTGATATTCGGACGTTATCAGGCAAGTCACAGATTCCGATCGGAATGGTTTCAATTCCGTAACTTAATTTCTATCGTTTTTTATTTAGTTTCTTCAAGTTCCGATCGATTTGGTGAATTACAAAATCTCATTATTTAGTGTAAATATGGCAATATTAAATGAATGATAATGAGAATGTGAAAAATATTCTGTTTAAAGAATGTTTTTTTATGCTCTCCACCATTCTATGGAGGGTATATTAGCTTTGTCATTCCGTTTGAAACTTCGGATCAGCGTAATATTCTAAGACGATCTAGCGATGCCCGTCTGTCTGTCCGTCCATCTGTCTGTTGTAATCACGCTATCTTTCGAACGAATTGAGATAGAAGGCTAAAAATGCCTGTTAAGTTCGTAAATGGGCCATGTCAGTCCACGTTTTTGTTGTTTGGGGGCTACCCCCATATAACGGTACCTTCCGATATTCTGTATTTTAAGAATTTTAGCGACATTATTTACCGGAATTATTTTAAATTTCGTATTTAAAGTTCGTAATGGGTACTTCAGCCAAACATTTTTGACTGCAGGTAATTTTCGGATATTTTTTCAAGTTCCTTCCAAGTGGTGGAGGGTATTAAAAATTCGCACCGAAGAATGTAAATTGTATTTCTGCTTTAGTTTATAATTCGTAATGCCCGATTGTTTATTTTTCACTAATGAATAATTGTTGTTTGAAAAAAGGTGGTTTTCAAGAATAAATTATGTGGCAACAATTTGTTAATAATCGGTGTGTCAATAGAAAAATAATAAGAATTACGAATAATTTTAAATAAAATTATGGAAAATGTAAATTTAAATGTGTATTTCTTATTAAAACAATATTCATATTACAAGTTCCCGTAAAATTACAATTTCAATTGCAAAATCAAAAGTGGTTTCTATCCGAAACACGGAATTGTTGAAAGAGGAAAAATAGCATACTTTAAAATGGCCATAACTCCTTAAATATAGACATTTCGGGGTTTTTAGCTATAATTTGACATCACTATTATAAAGAGGAAAACTAGCATACTTTAAAATGGCCATAACTCCTTAAATATTGACATTTCGGCGTTTTTAGCTATAATTTGTGATCAATATTTTGGTATATCCGGTACCTTCGATATTCGGTATTATGATGATTTTTGCCACATTTTTTTAAGGATTTGTCTAAAATTTGGTATTTGCAGATCATAGTGGGTTCTACTTCCGGTGGCAAAACATTGTACGTATAGATGTACGTTTTTGCGTAGCCCATATATAACGGCACACATATAACGATACACACCGAAATTCGGTATTTTGATACTTCTAGTCACACTTACACACGAAAATGTTCCAAATTTTGTATTTAAGAAGATTCTGTAGATTAAAATCGTTGAAGTATAAGATTGTCTATAGAGGTGGGAAATATATATTTTAAAACTAGGACCGACACAAATAGTCAGAGGAAACTACTATCTACCTGTTACCAGCCTTAATTATTATGATGATTTTAGTCACATTTTCAGTGAAAATTAAAATTACCACATAGTGGTGAAGGTAATATGCCCTTATGTATTTGTTTGTAACATGGAGAAGGAAGCTATATAGACCCATAGTTACTTTTGAGGATCTTCATAGAATCACTTTCTGAGCCGATTTATGCAATGCAGGTTGCATTTATTATCCGATTGTGATGAAATTTCTTAAACAACATTTTTTTGACCCAAGGACGAACCCTTTTGGTGATAATCGGATCAGATTTAGATGAAGCACGCATATATATTCAACAGACTTCGGGTAATTGTGCGCCAAATGGCCAATATAAGTCCAAATTACCTGAATTTTGGCACATCCTACAGAATTCAGTACATCAAATTTGCTTTGCAAATTTGTGCTTCTACAGTACATCAAATTTGTCTCATCCGATTTGGTGTTTAAGTCCCTCACATTCACACATTGTGCCAGATATCTTATAGAGCTCGAATTTGGTTATTTGGTATAAAGGATTGAAAATTTAGTGAAAATCAATTCAGAATTGGATATTCTTCCCATATACTAGTTCCCTCTAAAACCAAACTATAACTGCTCTAAAGCCAAATGTTGATAGGTGGTATGATCTACTTCAAATAAATTCTTTTGTTACGGGAGCTCTACTAAATATACATTGTGGTGTGGGGTATCATATAGACGGCCCCTCCCCACTTTGACTTTTTCTTACTGGTCTCTTATTTACTGTTATAATGTATTTATTAATGTATCAATGAACATTTCTCGATGGTTGCAAAATGGAATGACAAATTTACAATTAAGTTCTTCTATGCAAACAGTACCTTTTTTCTCGCTCTTCTTATTGCAATACTGGTTCACACTCTCAAATTCTATTTCTTCACAACTCTCTTTCTCCCTGCTGTGTGATTGTTGCTATTCTTGTTTATGCCGGTGATAACGGTATTGCTAACAATGCTGATTTTTCTTACAACAGAATAACAAGGAACAGTGTTTATGTGGGGTATGTTCAGTTAAAGCTACAGTGATGCTGCTATAACGGTTCTCACATGAACAGTAGACATAAGTAGAATCTGGCTTCATTCTAATGAATCTCTTACTGTTGACCCATCCTGTGGCCTTCTCCATTGTACCATACAAATTCAGATTGTCAAATGGCTCGCAATGTTTCTTTTTTTCAAATTAAGAGGCAGTGTCATATAAAAGTTAAGACAAAATGAGGAGTTGCCTAAAATTATCATTAATGCCTATTAAGAAATTGTGTTCAATTTAGCTCTATTTCGAAATTACGAAAAAAGTTCTTACACATATAGTTACCAGTGATAATTTCTACCTCTTAAAATCCCATTACTTATGTCTCAATTTCCTTCCCCGTTTATTTACAGAACGCCCCTCGCCGCCAGGACGTCCTATCTTGATTCCCATTTCCGATCAGCAACCCGATGTCGTTTGCCTACGATGGGAACGTCCAAGACTCGATGGAGGTTCTCCCATTACCGGCTACATTGTCGAACATCGACGAATGGGTTCGCCGCACTGGGTGAAGAGTACTCCCGTGCCCGTTTCGAATTGTGACGTGGCCATTAGTGGCATGGAGCCGGGTTGGCGTTATCAGTTTCGTGTCTTTGCCGAAAATGTTGTTGGTCGTTCGGATCCCAGTGAACTGTCCGACATCTTAACCGTAACGCTGCAACGCAATGCCATTAGCGTGCCACGCTTTGTTGACGAACTACAGGATATGCATGCTGTCGAAGATGAACGTGTCGAATTTCGGGTAAAATTCATAGGTCAACCACCTCCCGAAATAAGTTGGTTTAAGGATGGCTACGAGATATTCAGTAGCCGGCGAACGAAAATAGTAAACGACAACGACGCAAGTGTCTTGATCATACACCAGGTGGCGCTGACCGACGAGGGTGAAATCAAGTGCACAGCGACAAATCGAGCCGGTCACGTGGCAACGCGGGCAAAGCTTTTCGTACAAGCTCCGCCCAAGATTCGTTTGCCTCGAACCTATGAAGATGGCCTCATTGTAGAGGCGGAGGAAGTGCTACGCCTTAAGGTGGGCATTGCGGGACAACCCTTGCCCCAAATAACCTGGATGCATGAGGGCGAAATGGTTCAGAATGGCGGACGATTTGAAATAACGAACACCGACAAGAACTCCATGCTTAAAATTGAGAATGTCCATCGCGACGATAGAGGCGAATACAGTGTGAAGGCATCCAATCGATTGGGCGAAGATGTTGCCTCCTTTTTGGTCACAGTTACGGCTAGGCCCAATCCACCGGGCAAGGTGCGCTTGAACATGTCATTTGGCAAATCGGCCACGTTGTCTTGGACAGCTCCCGTGGATGATGGTGGCTGTAAGATCGGAAATTACATTGTGGAGTACTTTCGCATTGGCTGGAATGTTTGGTTGAAGGCAGTTACGACACGCTCTCTTAGCACCACGCTGCACGATTTGATTGAGGGTTCGGAATATAAGTTCCGTGTCAAGGCTGAAAATCCCTATGGTGTGAGTGAACCCAGTGAAGAATCGGAAATACTCTTTCTACCAGATCCCAAGAGAGGTATAACAAAGCCCACATCCCAAATTCAAATAAATGAAGACAAGCCGGTGCCACCGCGAAGAAAAACCTTGTCGCCCCAAAGGCCAACTGCAGATGCTGCCACCGAGACACTAGGTCATTTCTCACCCAAGACAGGTCGCAAGCTGAAGCCACAAGTATTCGATAGTGAAGATTTGCATCGTGAAATGTCCTATGGCACTTCGGTGAGAAAGAGTCCTTCTCCATTTACAGCCAAAGATAGCGTCAACAACAACAAACCCACCACTGGGAATGCTCCCAACAATTTGACGTTGAATATTGAAGCTGCAATCGAAAGAGAAAGTCGATCGCCAGAACGTTCACCAAAGACCCAGAAGAAATCGATATTCCTGCCAGGAATTTTGAAAGCCAAGGAAACGCCTACAAGCGCCACCACACCGGCACCCAAAACTGCCCCCGTTGCGGAAAATTCCAAAATCATGGATTTCATGAAACCTCGTAATCGCAGTCTTAGTCCTCCTCCGGACAGTGCTAAAACATCGAAGAATGGTAACACGGCAGCCACAACAACGGCATTGCAACGCAGCTCTGAACCGGTCAAATTGGGTTCAAGTCAAAATGCCACTCGTTTTACAGGTCTCCAAGCTCTATCTCCAGCAGCTCGTAATGCTCCCGCTTTGGCCATAGCCATAGCAACCAGTTCTCTGAGCAAAGAGAACGATGTGAAGGCAGTGGGGAACGGTGTACCAAAGAGTGCCGCTAACAATGGCACAAATGGCCGTGCAGCATTACCCAACCCCACCATAGAAATTAGTGCTCCACCCAAGCTAATCGTGACAACTGCAGCTCCCTCTCCTCCAACAACACCGAAAACTGTCACCGTGACAAGTGCCAGCATGGCGACGGCCACTCCCACAGAAAACTCCCAAACTATGGCATCCCAAAATCCAACTCGCAAACTGTCGAATGCCGACAAGCATGACGAGGTTCACACGAGCAACGAGTTCATGCTTGTCGTATTCGACAAAAACAGCAAGGTCAAGGATAAAGACAGTAAGTGCCGTCTTCCGTTCCTCTATGCGCCATTCTCCCTTTATCCTTGCGAGCTATTTCTACAGAATCCCTACTAATTCCTTCTAACTTCTCGTTTCAGAGCAAGATTCCTTCGAATTGGATCTAGAGGATGCCATACAACCTCCCCCCATATCCATATCGGCTCCCGACTTAGCTTTGCTGGAATATACGTCAACCCTGCATACGTTCCCCATTCGGCGTTCGGTAAGCTCCACGGAACTGCTGTACGAGCGAGCCATGGCCCGCTTCTACGAGGCTGTGGAGCTGGAGGAAGCAGAAAAGGCCCGCAAGCTGAAGATTTCTCAGGACAAAATAGCTGCACCAACAAATGTGCGCAAACGTTTGGGTTCCATGACCGAAGCAGAGCGTTTATCCTTCGAAAAGCGTAGCGAAATGAGAAGGCAATCAGCCGACATTGCCCACGACATAAAGTCATCGGCTCTGCACAAATGGAACTCCAAGGAAAACATAAGCGACATGAAACCACTGTCGCGCACAATGCCCCAGATGTACCAGAAACGCCAGGAAAGCCAAGAAAGTGGAGAGGTCAGCGAAGACTATCAGACGCGTAGTGAACTAAATAGGGATGATAGCTACGACTTGGGTTCCGACTACACCGAGAGTACAGCTTCATCGGATGTGGATTCGATCGAAAAATTCAAAATGGAGTTAATGGCCCGCACCCACTCACCCAGTCCAAGGGAGTTGGAAACCTATCATCCTCGCAATATGTCGGCGGGAGTTTTCACCCCATATCGTGCACCGACTCCCGATGAAGCTGCTTTGGTTCTAACCAGACCAGTTCCCTTGCCCAGTCCTGATTTTGTACCCAAACCAATTCTCAAGAGGCCGTCCTACGAAAATGTTTTGCAGGCCAACACCACAAACACCGTTGTGGAACCAGCGACCTCTACAGCCTCAAATGTTAAGCCCGAGACTGCTCCGAGCGATAAATTGGATATTGCCAAGGGCATTAAATCGTTCTTCAAGAGAGACAAGCGTTCCGCCACTGAAAGAAACACCGAAGAAAATGAAATGATTTCGAATCCGCAGGAGAAGACCAACGCTTCACTGCTCAGAGCCGAGGCAGAAGCCAAACGCAAAGCCAAAGAGGAGGAAGAAGAACGCAAACGCAAAGAAGCCGAAAGACTAATGATGGAGGAGGCCCATGCCGCCGTAGATCACTACAGTGAGTTGGTGCAACAGGTGAGCACGACCAGGAAGTATCACACACCGCTGTACATGGATCAAGACGAACTTAAAAAGATTAGCGACAAGGCCAAGCTGGACGGCACTGCAGATGAGGATGGAAACGATGCACTGCAGCAGAGAAGATCACACAGCCCTGATATGGCTCTCATACCGCCGGTCAGTAACAAGCCAAGGCTTTCGATATCCGAAAGAGGTCAGCTAATGCACGTTAGGGACACCGCAAGCGATATGTCAGTGAAGCATGACACGTTCAAGCCGGAGCCAGAACCCGAAACGCCAAGCGAACACAATGCACCTCTCACGTTTTCACCTTCCAACAGCCTGCCAGCAACACCAAGTGAGCCATTGCTGCCAGTGTCTGTGCCACAGTCATCACCTGCTGTGCCAACGCCACCCATGGAAGATGAAGAGGTGATCACCACCACCGTTATCAGTGAGACTGTGGAAGAACGCCCAGATTCTCGGGGTCGACCCCGCCTGGTGAAAGTAAAACGCATTATCAAGAAGCGAATGCCTTCGGGAACACGTTCTCGTGACACTTCACTCAGTCGACCACCGTCCAGCGCATCACACGATTTCCCCCAGGCCAGAACTCTTTCGAGAACACGTAGGTCTGCTACTGCCGAATCCAGATCACCTGGCCCATTTGGACGCAGTCCCCTAACCTTGAGTGCACTAAACAACCACTTTGAGAATCAAAACTCAAAGGCATTGCAACTGCCATCGACCTCATCGTCACACGAATCATTGGAGGTAGTGCCAAGGCCATCCACCCCACTGTCCGACGAAGAGGCCCACGAAAAAGTACGCTCAGCCATATCCTATTCCACCGACATGGTACTCTTTTTGGTGGCATGCTACATTTATTTGTTCAAAGATGCAAGACTGGTCCTACCCATATTGGCGCTGATGATCTATCGCCAGTTGGGCGAGGCCATCAGCAAATGCATACCCAGTTGGCTGAAGCGCAAAAAGGAATAAGTGCAATGTAGTTCAAGCAGCTAGGGAATATCATCAGCCATCTATTTTTCGTCTAATTTGTAAGCTATTCATACATATTTATATAAAGTTTGTATAATTGCTAATTATTTAATGAATTATTAATTTTTTAATTCCAAACGAATTGGATTCATTTTTTTGATTGCTCTTCTCTCTCTTTTTAGTATTTACCATCAACCCCACCACTTTCATCCCTTAAGTATTTGTTTCTGTGCATGTCTTGTTAGAGTAAAAGAAATTTTGAAAAAAAAAATTGAAAAAAAATTTCAAATTCAATTTTTTTGTATACGTTACAAGAAAAAAAAACAACAATAATAATTGTATTTATTTAATAATTTCTAAATATATTTAAATAAAAATTATTAAAAATAAAATTTTCTTTGCGACAATTTTTTTTTTAGCAAAAATATCTTTTCTTATAACTTAATCACAATGAAAGGTTAGTTTTCCTACAATTTCTACATCGGTGTCTGCAAATTCAGCCAAGTGCTGAAAAACGGAATGATAGAAACAAAGAAAAAAAGAAGTAAATTCGGCCGGGCCGAACTTTAAGTACCCTCCACCATTTGGAACGAATTTGGAAATGTTCCAAAAAATAAAATCAGTTAAAAAATTCTTCAAATAATCATCCAAATATCGAATATAGGAATATATAGACAATTCTATTCCAGGAAGTAAAGTACTCAGAAGAAACTCCTCCTTGAAAAACCTGTAAAGAAAAGTCAAAAGTCGGGCGGGGCGACTATATGATACCCTTCACCACTATGCATATTTACTAGAGCTCCCGTAACAAAAGAATTTATTTGAAGTAGATCATACCACCTATCAACATTTGGCTTAAAACAGTTATGGTTTGTTCTCAGAAGCAACTAATATATGGGAGGCATATCCAATTCTGAATCGATTTTCACTACATTTGACGAAGACATTTTAATCTTTTATACCAAATAACATTGCTATAGAGTAAATGATTACATTAAAACAAGTAAAAAAACATTAAGTTCGGCCGGGCCTAACTTTTAATACCCTCCACCTTAGGGTAAAGGAAACATTAGAAGAAATGTGGCAAAAAACATTAAAATGCTTAATATCGGGAGGTGCCGTTATATGGGGGCTATATACCAAAACGTGGACCTATAATTACAATGACTCACCATACGAACTGGGACCCAGTTCTTGAAAAAATGTGTCAAAAATCATCAAAATACCGAATATTGGGAGGTACCGTTATATGGGGACTATATCAAAATGTGGACCTATACATACAATGTTTCGCCACACGAACTAGGACCCATTATGACACACAAATACCAATTTTTAGACAAATCAGTGAAAAAATGTGGCAAAAACCATCGAAATACCGAATATGGGGAGATACCGTTATATGGGGGCTATACCAAATCATGGACCCATACATGCAATGTTTCGCCACCGGAGCTGGATCCCATTATGACCAACAAATACCAATTTTTAGACAAATCCGTAAAAAAATGTGGCAAAAAATTAATATACCGAATATCGGGAGGTACCTTTATATGGGGGCTATACCAAAACGTGGACCTATACATGCAATGTTTTGCCACACGCACAGGGACCCGTTATGACCTACAAATACCAATTTTCCGACAAATCCGTGAAAAAATGTGACATAAATCATCAAAATACCGAATATCGGGAGGTACCGTTATATGAGGACTATACCAGAACGTGGACCGATATATCTCATTTTCAATACCAACCATCCTAGACACAATACACAATGTGGATTGTATCGTGATTTCAACAGACAGGCAGACGGACAGACAGACGGACATCGTTAGATCGACTTAGAATTTTATGCTGACTATGAATATATATACTTTATGGGGTCTACGACGAATATTTAAGGATGTTACAAACGGAATGACAAAGTTAATATACCCTCCTTTCCAAGGTGGAGGGTATAAAAATATATATCGGAGCCGAGTTCCACAAAATGGAAACGAAATTTCCCGAAATTCACTTCATTTGGGTTGATATTAGCAATTATTTGCACAATAAGCCTGAAATCGGATTAAGGATATTTAAGAGCTAAAACCAAATCTTAGCCGATCTCGAAAAAATTTGGCAAATTTTAACTTTTTAAAAATTTGATGTACTTGCTGACAGAGGTATTTCTGGGCTGTATCTGATATCTGGTACCAAATATCATTCCGTTGAAGTGCTTATTATACATGTGAGGAACTTAACCACAAAATCGGATGAATAATATACATGGGAGCTATAGCTATATCTGAACCGATTTTCACTAAATTTGATGTACTTGCTTCTAGACTGAATTCGGTTGGGTGTGCCTAAATTCAGGTCATTTGGACTTATATTGGCAATTTGGTGCACAATTAACCCGAAACCGGTTGAAGATAAGAACTATATCTAAATCTCATCCGATTATCACCAATTTCAATAGGGTTCGTCCTTGGCCCTACCGTTATATGGTGGCTATACCAAAACGTGGACCGATATATCTGATTTTCAATACCAACCACCCTAGACACAATGAAAATTATTCCGCCAAATTTTGAAGCTCTACGTCAAATAATGTGGGATGTATCGTAATTTAAATAGGCTGAAGGTCCCCCATATCTGAACCGATTTTCACCAAATTTGGAAAAACTTGCTTCTAAGCTGAATTCGGTTGTGTGTACACAATATACTTGAAATCGGACGAATTTATATATGTGACCTACATTCAAATTTGATAAAATTATATAAAATTTAGCAGATGTATTTCTACCTGTGTCTGATACCAAATACCATTATTGTAGAGTTCATATCACAAATGTGGCGACTTAAAGGAAAATTCGGATAAAACTTATATATGGGAGTTTTAGATATATCTGTACAGATTTCCCCCTAAATTATAAATACTTGCTTCTTGGCTTAATTCGGTCGGATGCGCCAGTAAAATTAAAATTGGACGATGAATATCGAAGCTTTATCTAAATTTAGACAGCTTCTCGCCAATTTCATTATGGTTCGTCCTTGGGCAAAACAAATGATTTGTGGAACATTGCATCTTAAGCGATCAACAAATGCGAGCTTTACGTTGTTTACAAAAATACATCGACAGACGGGCAGACGGATGGACATGCATAAATTGATTCTATGGAGATCATCAAAAGGAACTATGGCTCTGCGTCGTTTTCTTCTGCATGTTACAAATAAATTCACACAGACATATTACCCGGTACCACAGTATGGCGTAGGGTGTAAATACTTACCCACAATCCCACCTCTGGAACAAATTAAAAAAAATCAAAAATTTTTACTAAACTTGAGCTAAGCCCTTGGTTCAATAGATTTATTGGTTATCGATTGTAGAGAAAAAAAAATTTAGTTAGAATGGATGAATTTCAAAATAAAATTACATTTTAAATCTGAAAAATAAAATTTTTGATTTCAAAAATTAAGAAAATTATGCAGCCGGAGCTACTGATGGTTCCGCAGATGGCGCAGAGGCTGTGGAGGAGGGGGCAACAACTTCTGGGGCTACGGGAGCAGCGACAGAGGGCTCAACTGATGGCGCAGAGGCAGTGGATGAGGGGACAACTTCAGGAGCTACGGGAGCAGCGACAGATGGCTCCACAGAGGGTGCAGACGCAGTAGAGGAAGGCACTGATGCAGTGGATGATAGTACAGCTTCTGTGCTAGAAACAACGGGAGCAGCAGTTGTTGTCGTGGTGGTCGTTGTAGATGGAGCCAAAGTTGGCGGCATTTGCCAACCGAATTGATTGCGAATAAAGGTGTCCAATTGAAGGATATCAATGCCATTAAGTTGGAGAGCAGCTGCCACACGTTGAGCCTCAGGCATAGCCACAACACGATCGTATACCGGTTTCAAGGCCTTTAAACGTTGCCAGAATTGAGTGAAGATGCCATTCTGTCCTACCTTCATGTTGATATGCATACTGATCATATCGGCCGGGTAGTAGAAGAAGAACTCATTGACAAAACCTTGCCATCCCGAAACGGTATTGGCCCAGAACGGTGTTGGATTAATGATGGTCATAAACTCTTCGGACTCTTCGACTTGTAATTCACCACCGGACAGTAGAATTTGTGCATTTACCCAGGCAATGAAAGCCATAACCTCTGGTTGGGAACGGAATCGCATGTAGGTCACATAAGCATCATGGGAATTTAGGATGCGCACAAAACCTTGGAACTGGGCATCGTTGAGCAGATAACGTGTCATCAGTTGACGAATTTGTAGGAAATTCACCATGCGCACAATCTCATCCAAATCCTGGGCCATGGTGGGTGCTGGTGGTGGTGTGGGCACAACAACAACGCCTGGATTAGGTGGTGGAGATGCCACCAAAGCCATGCTGCCCATGACACACATGGCAATAAAGGTGAACGTTAAAATGTATCTCATTGTTGCCGTTTAACTTTCGTTTCGTATCGTCTGAGTGTGTGGTTCGGGTAATACTATAATTTACTGCCTACCGATGGTTATTATATTACCGCCATCTTCTGAGATAATTCTTATGAAATTGTTATCAACCATGAGATAAGATCTAAATTATGCCCATCATCGTTGAAGGGGTCAACATTTTGTGATCTGTTGTGGGCATAATGATTCAGATGATGTTCATACAAACATACATACATACATATGTTGTTTGTTATTGTTGACACAGGGATTTGTCGCAGACCAGTAAATTTTTCTTATCTGCTATAATGTGCAAAATTTCGCCAAAATATTTCGACTTATTTATTAGATATCGAAGATAATATTTGGTTTTTGTTTTAAAGAAGATGTATTTTTTGTATTTTATTTGATATTGTCGCGTGCAAGTTGATTTTATAAATAACGTAATAGATTTAGACTAGATAACGTTGACTCAAGGCGAAGATTTCACCATAAGGAATTAAATTTTTAAAAACAATATTTTAGAAACCCAAAAACATTTCAAGACCAAAAAAAGCCAGTGAGTTGGTACATAATTATTGTAACATAATTTACAAAAGGTCCATTCGCTTAGTACAATTTTGGCATACTCTTTCCAACATTTCGGCCGGTATCTCACTAATAAATGCTCGAATTTTGTCTTTCAATGCATCAATTAATGCAGGCTCGCCTCCATATGCATAAGTTTGAACATAGCCCAGGCCAATCGACCGGCGCCCAACTTGAAATAAAATGTAAATCGAATTCACCTATCAATAAGTTCATTTTTATACCCTACACCACATAGTGGTAAGGGTATTATGTCTTTGTACATTTGTTTGTAACACCAGGAAGGAAGCGAGATAGACCCATAGTTATTTTTGAGAATCTCCATAGAATCACTTTCTGAGATGATTATGCATGTCAGTCCGTCCGTCTGTCCATGTATTTTTGTGAACAAAATTTATTATCCGATTGAGATGAAATTTTGCACATATCATTTGTTTGGCCCAAGAACGTACCCTATTGAAATTGGAGATAATCGGTCAAAATTTAGGTATAGCTCCCATATATATGTTCGTCCGATTTGCGTTTTATTGTGTACCAAACGTGTAATATTAGCCCGAATAGTATAGAATGCACATACAACCAAATTAGGCCTAAAAATAAGTATGCCAAATTTGATCGAAATCGGTTCCGATATAGCTATAGCTCCCATATATATTGTTCATCCGATTACTATTTTCGTCCTCCGCAGCCGTAATATGCACTCTGTAACAACAATATTTGGGGAAATATATCAAATGCAGCTCAGAAATATCTTTGGCAAATTTTATCGAGACCGTTTCAGATTTGGATATAGCTCCCTTATATAACTTCGGCAGATTTACCTTTTATTGAGCACCAAACGTCTAATATTTGCCCAAATGGGATGAAATTTGGTACTTACGACCGAATAGAGTCTAGAAGCTAGTATATCAAATTTGGTGGAACTCGGGTCCGATATGGCTATAGCTCATATATATATTGTTCATCCGATTTGTAGTATTTGTTACCCGCAGCCGTAATAGGCACTCTGTAACAACAATATTTGGGGAAATATATCAAATGCAGCTCAGAAATATCTTTGCCAAATTTTATCGAGACCGTTTCAGATTTGGATATAGCTCCCTTATATAACTTCGGCAGATTTACCTTTTATTGAGCACCAAACGTCTAATATTTGCCCAAATGGGATGAAATTTGGTACTTACGACCGAATAGAGTCTAGAAGCTAGTATATCAAATTTGGTGGAACTCGGGTCCGATATGGCTATAGCTCATATATATATTGTTCATCCGATTTGTAGTATTTGTTACCCGCAGCCGTAATAGGCACTCTGTAACAACAATATTTGGGGAAATATATCAAATGCAGCTCAGAAAAATCTTTGCCAAATTTTATAGAGACCGGTTCAGATTTGGTTATAGCTCCCATATATATCCTTATCCGATTTCAAATTAATTGTGCACCAAATGGGCAATACAAGTCCGAATTTAAAAGATACATGCTTCGGCATAGTCCTTTGAACTTTAAATTATAATTATAATCATAGCGTGTATAATTAATTTTTCCCATAAAAACTTTTAATTGTTATGTGGAGCTCTACTAAATTAGCAAAGTGGTGTAGCGTATCAAAAAGTCGGCCCCGCCCGTCTTTAGGTCTTTCTTTACTGGTTACGCATGCGGTGTGTCATTCTTGTTTAAACCACATGCAAGTCAAGCATTTGGTCCAAAAAAGTTGAATATTATCTCACGGTAGCGCTCACCATTCACGGTTCAATGATGCCACCAAGCGTATTGAACTATGACTTTTCCTGGACGCATTGGACGCTTTTGCAATGCTTCTAGCTGATCTTCGACAACAAATCGACAATTCTGCTAACTTACGTGAGCCAACAAAATGAGCTTGTCGCTGAACACAAGAAATGTACGATGAATATTCTTAACAGAACCAGCATTTTGATAATAAAATTAGATGATTTTCAAGTGTTTTTTTTTTATACCCTCCACCATACTCCATCCTCCACCATAACGGTACCTCCCGATATTCCGTATTTTGATCATTTTAGCGACATTATTCCCCGGAATTGTTTCGAATTTGCTATTTGAAGTTCGTAATGGATACTACAGCCTAAGAAAGAAAACTGTCTGTGCAGGTCCACGTCTTCGTATGGCCCTTATATAAAGGTACCTCCCGATATTCGGTATTTTGATGATTTTAGCGATATTATTCACCGGAATTGTGTCAAATTTGGTATTTGAAGTTCGCAATGAATACTTAATCCTAAGACAGAAAATTGTTTGTGCAGGTCCACGCCTTCGCATAGCCCACATATAACGGTACTTCCCGATAATCGGTATTTTGATGACTGTAGCTACATTATTCACCGTTTTTTTTTTTTTGTAATGGTAATGAATATTGTAATGGTTTATGAAAAAAATTACATATGCAGGTCCATGTCGTCGTATTTACCCTAATATAACGGCTACACTCGGTATTTCTAAGATTTTAACGGATTTTATTGTTTTTGAGAATTGCCAAGTTCGTTCCAAATGGTGGAGAGTATTCAAAGTTCGAATATTGAGTCCGAACTGAAGATGTATAACAGTTTAAACACGAAACTTTCACCCTGTATACAGGGAGAGATAAAAAAAAACTCCAAAAAGTCAAACGCCATATTTTTTTTTTTTTTTTTTAATTTTATTGAATGAAAGCAAAAAATGTCGGAAATAGCTTCAAATTATAGAATAGTGTTTGATTTGTTCGAATTGGTCACCTTTGGCACGAATTATGGCCTTCAAACGGCCAATGGCAACGGCAGTTCACCCCTTTCGGACAAGCGGTATAAGTTCTTCCACTTTTTGGAATTTCAATGGCTTTACACCGAGCTCATTTTTCAATATTTGCCGAATGGAATATTGCAATATGTTCCGCTCACGTGCCATTTTTCGGTCACTGCGGCGCGGGTTTCGATCAAGTCGCTTCTTTACTTTTCGAACCATTTCTGCTGATGTTGCTGTTTTCTTCCGTCCACTTCCTTGACTTCGGGCTACGCTACCAGTATCACGGTAACGAGCGATGTTACCAGACACAAAATATTTATTCACATTTAAATGCTGGAGTGCTCTAACCATAGCCACTTGTGGTTTTCCAGCGAAATATAAAGAAATCATACTAACACGCTTGAATTCCATCACGAATAATTTTTTTTTCTGGAAAATTCTCACCAAAATGCTTTTGTACACTTGTAAACAATATAATGAGCTGTCACTGGAATAATTTTAACAGCTGTCGGTCGAGTGGCCTTAAAATGACAGCAATGTGAAATTGGTTGCAGTTTTTTTTATCTCATCGTACCTCGTACACATTTGAGAAACCAGCTCATATTTCCAAAACCACCTATTTATCACCAACCTACCACCAACCCGGAACCCTACACAAAAATTTCAAAATTGCAGCTTCATCCATTCCCCCTAAAGCAAATTTAGTACCATTTAGTACTGTTCGCAAACTTAGTACATATATCAAACTTACTTTCCAAACCTGATTCTCATACCAATTTTCGAATCTTGATTCTTTACTAATTGGTTTTTAACTCCATCCGTTCACATGATACCAAATGGTACCATTTTAGAAGTTTAGTACAATTTTAGAACATTCTGTAACCTGTTTGACCGAGGAATAGAAAATAACTAAACTCATTAAACCAAAGTAACAAATTTCCCGAACTCTAATAAATAAAGTAAACGGCAAGAAAATAGCTCAAAGTTACTTGCACACAACCTCGTTGGGCGCCACAAATCGTATGCAAATTACCCAAAATCCTAATGCAAAAAATTCAAATGTAAAAACCTGTTGTTCTAAAAACGATTGCTGGATTTGGATTTTTTGTATGATTTGCACGGTCGAATGATATCCCCCTGTCGAAAACTACAGCTCAAAACCGTTATATGGGGGCTATACAAACGTGTAGTCATTTATAAGTAATTTTTTTCATAGACTGTACTTCAATTCCGAACTTCAAATACAAAATTTAAAACAATTCCGGAGAATAATGTCGCTAATATAATCAAAATACCGAATAAAGGGAGCTGCCGCTATATGTAGAATATATGAAGACGTGGACCTGCATGTACAATTCTCCGTCATAGGTTGTAGTACACATTATGAAATTTGAAACATTTTCGGTGAATAATGTCGCTAAAATCATCAAAATACCGAGGTATCGTTATATGAAAATATATACTTTGTTGGATCTAACATGCGTATTTCGAGGAGTTACAAAGGGACGACACTGCATGGTGGAGGGTATAAAAAACTAGACAAGGACTATACAGATTAAAGCAAATTTCAGTTAACACACATTCAAAAGTCAGCAAGTATTTCACATGAATCTCAATTACTAAGGAAATTACGTTGGGCGCCATATCATTTTAGCAGGTTACTAAACATCCCAAAGCAATGAGTATGTTGTTTAACACCAAAGTAACCAAATGAAAATGTATTAGTAATGTAAAATGAAAAAAATCAACATCAAGTCCATGTCGGATTGTAAATGAAAATGTCTTATCACATGTCAGATATCGGAAAATTGAAACCATGCAGACACAATGCAATGTCGGAGTAATACCTGACCCAACCCCCATCAAAAACCGGTAAGAAGCAAGACAAGCATTTTGAGTGTCTCCGAAAAAAAAACGTTAGATAAGAAGGTCACGTTGGGCGCCACACACCCTTTACTCTTTACCGAAACAAAAACTTGTCTTATTATCTCGGGCAATATTATAGCTATTTGTAGTTACACCCATGGTAACATTGTTACACGTACAATTTAAATTCCAATTTTTTATCCAGATTTATATTGAACAATTCTAAAAGCGGAATCTTAACATGCCGATTAAGGTCATATGTATCTAAATCCAATCACAATTACCAACCGCAGTATGTTTTGCATAAATCTGTTATTTCTAAGAAATTAATGAACGAACTATCTTGCGGCAAATGTTCCAGGTATTCAAAAACGAACAAACGGATAACCACGAAATCGTTATGATAACTACTGGCTAGTAAACACACATATTTCCAAAAAAAAATCATGTTTTATCTTATCATAACAATTCGCGAAATTTTCAAGATAATTTTCCATTTGCATCCCGGAAAAAAAATATATAAGCATCCCCTCGGACCAAATTGAAATATTCAATATTCGAAAAGAAAACGAACATGAAGTGTATAACGGTTTTGGCGCTAATTTTATCCTGTACCATGGGCTCAATGGCCCTGGTGGCAGCACCCAATGGACCAGCGGTAGTGATTCCCACACCACCACCAGCACCCACCCTGTCTCAGGATTTAACGGAAATTCTGGCCATGTTGAACCCCATACAAATTCGTCAACTTATGACACGCTATCTGCTCAACGATGCACAATTCCAGGCATTCGTGCGTATCATCAATTCCCAGGATGCCTTTATGACCTACATGCGTTTCCGTTCCCAACCGGAAGTATTGACATTCCTCTCATGGGTACGAACACAAATTATGTTGTCTGGAGGTGAATTCCAGCTGGAAGAGTCTGAAGAGCCAATGACCATCATTAATCCCGTACCGTTTTGGGCCAACACCGTATTCGGCTGGCAGGGATTTGCCAATGAGTTCCTGTTGTACTATCCCGACAATGTGATTCGCACCCATATCAACATGAAAGTGGCTCAAAATGGTATCTTCACGCAATTCTGGCATCGTTTGAACGCCTTGAAACCTGTTTATGAACGTGTTATTGCTCTGCCCGAAGCCCAACGTGTAGCAGCTGCCTTACAAAAGAACGGAATCGATGTCGTGCAATTGGATAACTTTATTCGCAATCAATTCGGTTGGCAAATGCCTCCAACTTTGGTTCCATCTACTCCGGTTTCATCTGTTGCTTCTGTGGAACCCTCTGTTGCTGCCCCTTTAGTGCCAGTTGTGTAATATACATAATAATTGTTCTCTTATGTAAATAAATGTACATTCTGTTCGCTGTTAATAAAAAATAAAATTTCGAAAAAATAAATTATTAAATTATGAACAAATGGCATTAAAATGTATATCCTCTTGGCCCAAAACTGTACTACTCTGCTAAGCGGAATCGGAAACTGATAATATCGACAGAGCCGACTTCGAGGGTTTAGCAGGCTCCACAGGTCAGTCTTCTTTCTTGTAGGATTTTTGGTGGTCTGCGCTCCCGAAACTTGATTAATCTTGCTCGACTGGACTTGGCGCTCTTATTGTCGAGAGAGCTCAGCGGCAGAGCCGACTTCGAGGGGTTTATCAGGCTCCATGGTTCAGCGGGAAGACGAATGCCTTTTTCCCCGCATGCTTTTGTGAGGTCTGCGCTGCCGAAGACTTGATAGCTCTTGCTTTGGAGAATGGTATAGAGGGTATATTAAGTTTCTCATTTGGTTTCGATTTAGCGATGTCCGTCCGTCCATCCATCTGTGGAAATCACTCTAGCTTCCGTACGAAATGAAGTAGGTTGATAATATTTTACTCAAATGTAAATTATGTCTGCAGGACTTTTGGTATTGAAAATGTGTCATGTAGGTCCACGTTTTGGTATAGCCCCCATAAAATGGTACCTCCCGATATTCAGTATTTTGATGATTTTAGCGACATTATTCACCGGAATTGTTTCAAGTTTGGTATTTGAAGTTCGTAATGGATAATACAGCCTGTGACAGAAGCTGTCACAGAGCTGTCTGTGCAGCTCCACGTCTTCGTATAGCCCCCATATAATGGTACCTCCATATATTCGGTATTTTGATGATTTTAGCGACATTATTCACCGCAATTGTTTCAAATTTGGTATTTGAAGTTCGGAATGCATACTACAGCCTGAGACACAAAATTGTCTGTGTAGGTCCACGTCTTCGTATAGCCCCAATATAATGGCACCTCCCGATATTCGGTATTTTGATGATTTTAGCGACATTATTCACCGCAATTGTTTCAAAATTTGGTAATTGAATTTTGTAATGGCCTATGATAGAAAATTGTCTGTGCAGGTCCACGTTTTCGTATAGCCCCCATATAATGGTACCTCCCGATATGTTTGTTTCAAGTTTCGCATTTGAATATTGTAATGGCTAATGACAAAAGTTGACTATGCAGGTCCATGTCGTGTTATAGACCCTAATATAACGGCTACATTCGGTATTTTTAAGATTTTAAAAGAATTGTTAACGGATTTTAATTTTTTGAAAATTGTCAAAATCGTCTCAAACGGTGGAGGGTATTCAAAGTTCGGCCCGGCCGAGCTTACAGCTTTTTTACTTGTTTGAGTGCTTTTTTGTTCCAGTCTCCTTCCACAACACCTTTCTGGATGAGCAGGAGTTTTCTGCGGCCGTTGTCTTTTTTTAGACCTCGACTGGTTCCACCACGGGAGTTCCTTTAGTGTTGCATTAGAATATGTCTTCTCGAACTTCCTAACGAACTTCAGGTTCATCCTGATATGCGGCAACTCTTTATCAGTAAGCTTTGATGGATCCCCATCGACATATCGCCGACATGCCTTTTTATTCCTCACCTCTTTGGATTTGGCGCTCTTGATGTCAGAAGAGCTAAGAGGCACTTCCATTTTCCGCTCTATGCTCCATTTACCTCATGCCTTAAGAGTGTGGGTTTGTCTTTATTTACCGACGTATTGGTATTAGGGCAGATGGGACTATTCAGGTTGAGTTGGGAGTCAAACCTTATCAGGAGTTTGAGGCCTGTACTGCCGTGGCATCCATGTCCTCTTCCTCGTCAGGAAGGGGGGCTTTTCCAGGTGTCCACAGGGATACTGTTCTGACACATCCTTTAAAATTTCGTTTTCCATAACTAAACGATAACTCAACCCAACATTCCTTGAGGAGCGCAGTTATTAACGAAACTCCGTCAGATATAGCCGATACCTTGACTGCAAACCTATGAAAGTGATATATACGTGGTAGCATAACACCCCACCGTTAGGGGCGCCTAAACATTGCCTCGTCAGCCTAAGGAGCATTGACACTCGGATATTCAATTCATTCAAGTATATCTATTAGCAATTCTACTATCCGCAACATGTGGACGCGTCATAATGCCGTTTTGGAATTTGCCTAATATTAATCTGTTGAATGCACTTAATTAAAAAAAGACAAAGTGTTGGAGCACTATGGCATGACCTCCCATCAGCTTTTCTCAAAATGTTTAAAACAAACACACAAATATATTTTTATCAGTCAATATTACGGTGGTGTTATAGGGTTATATCCGGTTTGATATGAACATTTCATAATCAAGTATCTTTTCTAGATGTTTACAATATATGTAAGCATATATGATTATAATTATTTACTTGACGTCTTAAACTAAAATAAACACAACTAAAACTAAAATCGGGTCTAATAAGGGGTAAAGTCTTGGAAGTTCTTGGAAGGCTTTGTTAAAAACACAACTATGGCGTGGATGTTTTCGTCTACATTACTTTAGAATTTTAAATCTCCCAACTTGTCTGAAACATTTTTGGTGTTTGCCGCTGGTTTTTTGCCTGCCTTTAGAGGTTTCGAGGTTGACGGTTGTGGCTTCTTTACCACCAAGTCTTTGTGAAGTTCACGCAGATTGGCATCAACTTTTTCTTGCTTTTTGGTTACAGCTTCCTTGATCTAAAATGAAATGATATTTAATTAGTATTATTGTTTTAACCTTAAATTCATTTAAAAAATAGATGTACCTTTTTAAGCTTGCCCTGTACTTCCTTGGGCTTCTTCTTCTGTTTAACGTCATTGACCTTGAAAATGTTTTTGGTCTTTTTGGCAGCACCTGCTCCCGATTTTTGCTTTGACCTGCGACCCATATTAAACTAAAAGAAAAACAAAACCATGAAAATTCAGATGTATACAAAATGTGTTTTATTAACTTTTGTTTATACTATTTAAAAAAAGTTCAAAGGCATTTAATTTTACTTTGGGAAACATTCGTCATATCCTCCTGTTCTCCCTCGGTTTTTCGTTTGAGATGATTTTCGAATTCCTCCTCTGGCTGTACAACAATGGGTTGTGTTACAATTTCCTTGTTTAAATGGAATGATACCCTGTACATATCTTTATTGGGAGCAACATTTCGCACAAAATAAATGCCTTCAAGATTATCTTTTAATGGCATTTTAAGATTATCCTCCACCAATTGCAATACCAATTCTTTGGTATTGGTACCTTTAGCAAAGGAATACACATGTACCAAGGGGTAATTCAAATTATCCTGCTCAAAATTAATTGTCTTTTCATGACACTCCCTTTCGAATAATCCACGGAATGCTGATAAAAATTCTACAGACATGGCAGGTAAATTCATTGTAATATGGATTTTGTAATTTTCATCTTCCTTTGATTGCTGCCAACGTTTCGCCAAATCTTGTTTGATATCTTGCAGAATAAAGTCGCGACCATCCTTGTTGAATGATTGTGCCATTTGTTGGCACTTGTTCCGTTTCAAATTGTGCTGTAACCACCGAAAACTCTCGGGATTCAAATCGTTCGCCAAAACAGTGCATTTCTTTTTGGCAGCAGGCACAGAAAATGGTCCAACACCCGCAAAAACGTCGTACAACACATCACCCGGTTTTAGCATTTGAACGATACGTTCATGTTCGGTGGACAGGCGGGGATTCCAATAGACCTTTGAAAAATCAAACTCAAAAAACACTCCATTCTCCTTGGTCTCCACCTGATAGATAGGCTCACCACACAGCAACTCAAGTTGGAAATTACGATAGGTGTTATCAATCGTGGAAGCTTTGTTCACCACCGTTTTACAGTTAGCAACCTTGTCCAGCAGAACCAAACCTATCAAGTTTTTGTAAGGCAATAAATGATCACGCAAATTCAAATGGACAATGTGACCAATGCGAGAATACGAAGTCAAACCTTCTTCATCTTTGGGCAACACTGCCTTTAGAATTTCATCGGCTCTCCAATTGTCGTAGGTCAATTGTATCTGTGTGAATGCAAAATTCTCCTTGTTCACTTCATGCTGCTCTAATTCATTGCAAGGCAAATCTTCCCATTGCTTAACTGGTGTGGGATGCAGCAGGATCTCTCTGCCATCTACTTCGTTCAGTGTACATGGTTTGACAGGTTTAAGTTTTTCCATTTTCAACAATAGTTTCTTAACCACTGGCAATACCTTCTGTGCCTTCTCCTCACGCACCCATAAACGTGGTATTTGTATGGCTTTAGCAAATTTTTCCCTCTTCAATTCGACCATGCCTTGTACCTCACAAGGCGGTTGCAATAATTCACAGTCCATATTTTTCCAAAAGTGACGTTGGCGTATTATTTGGATATTCCTTATGGAAGTATTTGCAGCACTAAATATATTTATTATAATTTTATTCATGAATGGATTTGCTTCTATTATTTATTTCGAAACTCGCACAAACGTGGTGGTCATAACAAAGTCTTCCTCTTCGAAAATAATTCTTTTAGTTTGGCCAAATTGCTTTGTTGTTGTTCAGTACTTCTTTTATTTAACAGTCGTTTACTGCATTCATACAATTTTTTGTATTTTGTCCTAATTTCTAATTTAATAAAATCCCTTGTGTTTTTTTATTACAAAAATAAAATTACCTTCTTCTTTCCCTTCCCGCTGATACACACGTTAGAAGTTAGGGATAATTAAGTCGACTTCCAACCAATCGAAAACTGAGAAAAATCGTATAATCGGAGTGTCTCATGGCAACACATTAAATGGCAACGCGGAATATATGTGTGTGTGTGTGTTTGGGGCAACGGCGACAGTGTAAATTGTCTTTTTTGCTTGGTTATCCGGATTAACCTGGGTTATGAAGATTTATTTGAGGTGTATACAATGGAATTGACAATTTAAACCGACTGAGTTTTCTAAATCCTTTACAACGTAAACGTATTGTAAGGCTATGATACCATCCCAACATACCAAAAATACAATACAGCTTGAGAATAATATTATGAAAATAGTTTATCATAAGAATTTTTCAACAATGCTTGAGAAACACTTTTTTGCACAAACTTTTCTCAAATCTGTCCTTTGTTGACAAATTTGTTTTGATTTTTTTTTTTTTTGTGAAAATTGTCAACAAAAAATTATTTTCTTTGGTTAAAATCAAAATCACGCGAATTTAGGACCCATTTCCCGACGAAACTCTAAGGTAATGATGAATAATAAATCTGGGAATCTGTAGTATAAATTATTTCAATCTCATTTCAGAATGGAGGCGTCAAAAAGTTGCAGGAATTCAACAGAAGTGAAGAATAAGTGGAGGAGATACAGAAGCTCAAATAAGGGGAAAGAAAGCATCTAGGTATCAAGGCAACAGGATGCAGTGACAGCTGGGATGGCAATCAATGAATGAAATGTGTAAAATAATTAAAAAATGAATAAATAAATATTTTTTACCATTGAAAAAATAAGCTTTATAAAATATTACTTTCGTAAGCTTATTCTGCAATTACAAGAATATGCTTATGAATAAGGTTCCTTTTCGATTATTCTATAATTGTTAAACAAACATTTCTCAATACATTCTCAAGATTTTCTCAAGCTTTAGGCTTATGTTTGTAAGCTTATTAAAATATTATTCTCAAGTCAATTTGGTATGTTGGGATATGATTTAATTTTTTTATTTTCTTGGCTTAATATGTCAACTTTATTTGTTTATGTGTGTGTATTCTTTTCAGTAATACAAATTTTAGAAAACATTCAAATTCGAGTGTTTTCAAAATGCTTATTGTAACCACGGATTTTATGCCAAATAAATCATGATGGGAAAATTAACCCCTTATGTAAACGTTGTGTTCAAATTCCTTTTGAATTGTTTACACACTGCAACGTATATCTTTGCTATATCGTTGGCAACACGGTGTATTTACTTTTTCACCACATTTGTTTTGGTGGTGAAATTGACAGCTGATGATACAAGAAAATCGATTTTGGAAGAAAATACTAAGCAACCAAAAACACTCACAAAAGTGAAAAACCCAAATAAAGTTTTTAAAGATTTTAAAATAATACACCAGGAAGATGACAAATGATCAGCAGTATCAGGAACCAGAAGCCGAAATAGAAAATGTCCGAGTTGTGGTACGGGCAAGGCCCATGGATAAAAATGAAGTGGCTGCGGGTGCACTGGGTGTAATCAAAGTGGACAAACTGAAAAGGGCTATTACAGTAGTAAAGCCTCAAGCCACTGCCAATGAGCCACCTAAAACATACTACTTTGATAATGTTTTCGATGGTGATAGTAGCCAATTGGATTTGTATGTGGACACTGCCAGACCGATTGTGGAAAAGGTCTTGGAAGGCTATAATGGCACCATCCTGGCATATGGTCAAACGGGCACCGGTAAAACCTACACCATGTCAGGCAATCCAGAGAGTCCTCAAACCAAGGGAATTATTCCAAATGCTTTTGCCCACATCTTCGGTCACATTGCCAAGGCTAAAGAAAATCAGAAATTTTTGGTAAGGGTAAGCTATATGGAGATCTACAATGAAGAAGTTCGCGATTTGCTGGGAAAGGATGTAACAAAAAGCCTAGAAGTCAAAGAACGACCTGACATAGGTGTGTTCGTTAAAGATCTCAGCGGTTATGTGGTACACAATGCCGACGATTTGGAGAACATTATGAGATTGGGCAATAAAAATCGAGTTGTGGGAGCTACCAAAATGAACCAAGAATCATCACGTTCACATGCCATATTCTCCATAACCATTGAGCGCAGTGAATTGGGAGAAGGGGGCCAGCAACATGTAAGGATGGGAAAATTGCAACTCGTCGATTTGGCCGGCTCTGAGAGGCAAAGCAAGACTCAGGCCACCGGACAACGTTTAAAGGAGGCTACAAAAATTAATTTATCCCTTTCGGTATTGGGCAATGTCATAAGCGCATTGGTGGATGGCAAAAGTTCTCACATTCCATACAGAAACTCTAAATTGACTCGTTTATTGCAAGATTCCTTGGGCGGTAATTCGAAGACCGTCATGTGTGCCACCATATCGCCAGCAGACACTAATTATATGGAAACCATTTCCACTCTCCGATACGCTAGTCGCACCAAAAACATCACAAATCGTATGCATGTCAATGAAGAGCCAAAGGATGCCCTGCTCAGGCATTTCCAGGAAGAAATTGAACGTCTACGCAAACAATTGGAGGAAGGTTACGAAGAGGAGCAACTCGAAGAAGAGGTTGAGGAGGTGCAAGAAGAAGAAGATGATGACGAGGAGGAAATAGAAGCCGAGGTATTGGCTCAGAACCAGAATGAAATAACCGAAAAAGCCTTGGAGAAGCAGCGTTTGCGAGAATTGAAACAAGCCAAGAAGGAGGCTCTAGAGAAACGCAAACGTGAACATCAAATGGAAATATCTAAGACCAAGTCGGAGCAAGAACAGTTGCGCAATAAACTTCAGTCTTTGGAAGGCAAGATTTTGGTAGGTGGTGAAAATCTTTTGGAAAAGGCCCAGACTCAGGAAGAGCTGTTAGAACAATCACTGAAGGAGTTGGAAGAACGGGAGAAAGCCGAGCAAATGTTGCGCGAAACATTACAACAAAAAGAAACTGAACGCATTGACATCGAAGAACGTTACTCATCGCTACAGGAAGCCAATACCGGCATAACGAAGAAAATTCATCGCGTTATGCAAATGTTGATGGGTGTTAAATCCGAATTAGCTGACCAACAACAAGAACATCAACGTGAAAAGGAGGCCATTTACGAAAACATTCGCTCACTTTCACGCGAATTGGCTCTGTGTGAGCTGGTGTTGAATTCATACATACCCAAAGAGTATCAAACAATGATTAACGAATACACCCATTGGAATGAAGATATTGGTGAGTGGCAATTGAAATGTGTTGCCTACACCGGTAACAATATGCGCAAACATATTACCGACTCCAAAGCTTCGACCAAAGATAACAACGATTTTGTGGACTTATCACATGTCTATCTCAGCTACAATTCCGATTCGGTAACACAACCTGTTCGTGTCAAGTCATCGATAGCACGTCCACGTACATCAGGTGTTCCCAGACCTACTACAGCGCGGCGATATTGAGCTGATCTTTATATTCCCCCCGTGGGATATCATCACTACGATTGTCATGTATCTCAGCTATCTCCAGATTTTTTTGCATCTCTGCTTCGTTCCCAGTGCTGGTTTGTCCTTGCTTTGTTTTTCACCTACTATTGCTTTCACCTAATGGTCTCATCGGCAAAATCATAAGCATTACTCGAATACTCATCCCAAGAAAAAAAGGAATTTCTCGATCAATTAAGTTGCATTATAAGTATTATTTCGTTAGCATTTCTTTCAGTCGTCCCAGCTACTTACTCTACTGGCTAGAACTACAACACGAAAACACCACTAAGTCATCATCAGCAAAACTATATAGCAATTATATACTTACATAGCATACGAAATAAGTGCAATAATAATCATACATACATATTTATAGATATTTATTTTATGGCATTTACATTTTAAACTCTGTCAAAATAACCAGAAATATTCACAAATAAAATATTATTTACACCATACAACCTACAAGTAGAGCGCTTTATTGAATAACTTTGTCGCAAATGTGAGTTTGTAAGGACCTATTATGGTATACAATTTTCTTTTGGAGTAGGAAACTTTTTAACTTATATGTTTCTGTATGTCGAAACGAATGGGAAAAAGACACCACTTACAATTTTAAATTAACTGAATAAAAACATTAAAAAAAGGACGATTGCCGGGCTGGCTTCTGCCCATATAATAGCCTCTATCATTAAGTAAAGAAAATATTTTTATACAAAAGTATCTGGATTCAAACATGTTGCACTTTAAAATACAAACTTCAGTAAGATCGGTAAGAGAATGGTTGGAGCCATTATAAGGAGGCCATACTAAAACGGGAGCCTATATAGACAATAATAATTTCGTGGACAAATGTGACTAGGACCAATATGGACATTGTTTTGACGCTGGCTGTAGTACTCATTATGAATTACAAATACCATTTTTTAGACAAATCCATTTAAAAAGTGGGAAAAATCGTCAAAATACCGAATATCGGGAGGTACCGTTATATGGGGAATATCCCAAATCGATGTACCTCTATATTTAGAGGTGTTACAAACGGAATGACAAACTTAATGTACCCTCCTTTTCAAGGTGGAGGGTATTAAAAATAATTACAGGAATAATGCACCAGAATGCAGAGATAAAATTAGAAAACCCTTGTATAAGCGTTTTGGAAGTTTACATCCCAAATAGGGAAAAGAGGGAATTTTCCTCTGTCGCATTTTTGAAATCATCAGGTTTAGATTCCTTTAAAACCATTAATCGTTGGTATATGGTGTCTTCGGCAATATTACAGATAACAATACGATGATTATTTTGGTGGAAATTTCCAGCGAGTCATCACGGGCTTCCGGGCCTTTTTTCAAAATATGATTAAAAACTCCTTTTTAAGCATGTCAAAATATTCAACAGAGGGTATATATCATTTGATGCAGCCAAAATAGGCTGAATAGAAATAGGTTTATTTCGATGAAATCCGTTTTGGACATTTCGGCGGTGTCCTTCCGTTTGACTGTCTGGCTGGCGGTACGAACGACAACCGTCAAGGGAGTATCCAATTTCGTCTAAACTTAATACATCGTTATATTATTATCAAACTAAAATTGAGTACAGAGATGGACAATATATAATTATTCACCGATTTTTTTTAAAGTTTCGCATTTGAATATTGTAATGGCTTATGACAAAATATGCCTATGCAGGTCCACGTCGTCGTATAGACCCTACTATTATAACGGCCACATCCGGTATTTTTAAGATTTTAAGAGAATTTTTACGGATTTTATTTTCTTGCCACATTCGTTCCAATGGTGGAGGGTATTCAAAGTACGGCTTGGTCGAACTTACAGCTTTTTTACCTGTTTGAAATTTCATCGTTAAAATATTTATTCCCCTTTGTAATTTACCCTCCAGGCTTTCATATACACAGAATGGAGCGGTTGAGGTTCTCGGACAACATAAATTATGTTTGTGATAAATGTCACATTTTAAATTGAACATAAACTTTAAAAGTTTTCATATTTTCGATATTTTTTTTTTTTTTTTGGATTTGTCTAGCATATAAAACTTCTTCAATATTCCAGCCTTTGTGTGCATAAATTATCCAAGTATTTGTCAAAATAGATGAAATGTGTAAGTTCCTATAATTCGCCAACAATTCTACAAACCGCCAACGTATTTAAAAATCGCAACACGTTTGACAAGAAATTGCCATATCTGACAACACTGCTCGACGCATTTTCAAATAAAACCTCACTTACGTGCCCTCCTTTCAACATAACTAAGTTCAAATGTATTAATTCATGTCGGGACGGCGCGTACGCCATTCCCGGCTACCAAAAATTACACGCACGAGTTATTCGCATTAGGAATAATCGCGGAGGTCAACTCAGCCGGATGTGCAATGGCCAAGCCTCACTCCGGGGGAACCGCCTTCATGATCACGGTAACCCCTACGCCAGGTAAGTATGCTTTTCTCCGCTAATGCTGAACTCTTTCAATGCCTACTACTATCAAGTGAATGAGAATTATAAGAGAATAGCGAAAATAAAGAACAAACTGAAATAACAACGAATTCATAAAATTCACGGTAGACGACGGATATTTTCACACAATTTGTTATCAGCCATATGAACACACAGCGTGAATGGGAAAAGAGGTGGTGGTTTTTTTTAGTATCTCACATCAAGCAAATGTGTTGTTGCTTTGCTAGCAATAAAATGAATACGGATTTGTGTGTGTTTAGTTGTACTAGATTTTGCTTGTGCATTGAATAAAAAGAAATGTGAAGCGATGAAAAACGGTGCGCTTCGTATTTGAGAAGTATTAAATAATAATAGTAAAAATTAATAAATTGTTTAATTTGGTATATCAGCATGGTCTTTGGTTAATATAATTTTTCAAAAAAAAAAAAAAATATAGAAATTACTTAAAAAAGTAACCATCTGGTTCCATCCAGGATCGAACTGGAGACCTTCTGCGTGTAAAGCAGACGTGATAACCGCTACACTATGGAACCACTTGGGAAGGTGTTGACAAAAACCCAATATAAAATAGGCAGACACAGTAGTATAAACATTTGTTCGAATATCATGCAATAGGAAACGTCACTTACATACATTTGTATGAAGGTATGTTTGGTCGTTAGTAACGGTATCAACAGATTTGGAATACGCATACAGTGAGCAGCAAATGGAATAAATTAATAATTCCTCAAAAATACTTCAAAAGTTATAAGACTTATTTTTATATTCAACACTACCAACAAAAATTGCAAATATTTGTCACAACCAAATTATTAAAAAAATCGAGATCTTGTCAAGTTCATATTTTAACACAGCATAAGTCGTGGTAGCCCTGGAGATAAATAAAAAAAAATATTGAAATTTTCTCGATCGATGTGAGAATACATAAAACGCTTTTTTAACTGGCTTAAAGATGAGAATACATAAAACATCTTTTGTTGACTGGCTTCTTCGTAGTGGAACAAAGCAAAGACAAACAAAGGAATTTTAGGTTGACCTAGATCGATTTTGGCCCTAAATTCCTTTATTCTTTTCCGAAGAAGCCATCCAATGACTTAAGCCAGCGAAAAAAAAGCTTTTTATGTACTCTCACCTTTAGAACTAAATTGTTGTACCTTATACCTGGTAGGATACCCTTTGAGTCGTAAGACTTCATTTAGTCGGTCGGGCATTGAGTACACAAGCTTTTTAGTGTAGTCCGCCGATATTTTACACCACTCTGTCAGAAGTATTTCTTTGAGTTGAGCTTCGCTGGAAATTCTTTGATACCGGATACATTTTTCTAAATGATCCGATAAATGCTCAATAGAATTCAAATCGGGGCTTTGTGGGGGAGTAATCAGCACGTGTGGTGGAGCAATAGCAAGCGATCCACATCTTAACTTCAGCAGCGGTGTGCTAGGGGTCATTGTCTTGTTGGAAGTTATAATTATCACGAATCTTGAGTTTTTCAGCACTTAGCTTCAGATTTTGTTTCAAAATATTCATGTAAAAGGTGTTAATCATTATTTCCACAATGAATTCCAAATTTCCAACACCTGCTGCATCCGAGTATTCTTCGGATTGAGCTCATCCCACATTTTTTGCCAAACCAAAGTGTGTCCATCCGACCCAAAACTGTTATATTTTGTTTCGTCGGAGAAAATTACTTTTTCCCAGAAGTCATTTGTCTTTTTTATAATATTTTGCTAAGTTCATACGCTTCTTTTTGTTTTTGTCGCTAAAATGTGGTTTCTCGTGGTTAGTGCGAGCATTATATCCAGACCTATTGATGCACCTACGTACTGTGTCTGCAGAAACTTCTTTTCCTAATGATTCTTTTAATTCTGTAGAGATTTTAGGAGCGTTGTAAAATTAATTTTCGTTCTTCTCTATAATTGAGATTCGGGGGACGGACTGCTAGAGGTTTATTTTTAATTATATTTTATTTTTTGTACCGATTAATTACTTTTTGGACCGTTGATTTGGTTCTGTTCAAAATTTTACCTATACATATTTCGGTATATGATTTGCCCATTTACACAATAAAAAAAACAGTAAGGATAAGTGAAAAGTCGGGCGGGGCCAACTGTATGATGCCTACACCACTATGCATATTTAGTATAGCTCCCGTAACAAAAGAATTTATTTGAAGTAGATCATACCACCTATCAACATTTGGCTTTAGAGCTGTTATAGTTTGGTTTTTGAGGGAACTAATATATAGGAGGCATATCCAATTCTGAATCGATTTTCACTAAATTTGACGGAGACTTTTAATCTTTTATACCAAATAACATTGCTATAGAGTGCATGATATCACTTCGAGAAGGATTATATTAAAAAAAATATATATCGGAGCCAAGTTCCACAAAATGGAAACCTACGTCCCGAAATTCACTCCATTTGGACTGATATTACCCATTATTTGCACAATAAACCTGAAATTAGGATATATATGGGATTAGGGATATATATGGGAGCTATATCCAAATCTTAGTCGTTCTCGATAAAATTTGGCAAAAGTATTTCTGAGCTCTATAAAATATATTGTACCAAATATAATTGTGGTCGAATGCATATTACGAATATAAGGGACTTAAACACCAAATCAGATAAAACACATGCATGGGAGCTATAGCTATATCTGAACCGATTTTCTCCAAATTTGATGCACTTGCTTTTAGACTGAATTCGGTCGGGTGTGCCAAAATTCAGGTCATGTGGACTGATATTGGCTATTTGGCGCACAATTAACCCGAAATCGGTTGAAGATATATATGGGAGCTATATCCAAATCTGAACCAATTTTGATAAAATTTGGCAGAGGTATTTCTGGGATGTATCTGACATTTGGTACCAAATATCATTGTTGTGGAGTGCATATAACGCATGTGAGGGACTTAAAACACCAAATCGGATGAAACATATATATGGGAGCTAAAGCTTTATCTGAACCGACTTTTACCAAACTTGATG